AATTCCAGGTGCTGCTAGACAAAGGATAATGGTCACCCACGTGGTCTTTCAGGCAGCTGTGGATGCAGCCAACATGTCTTCTCACTCTCTAGTGACCAGGATTGTTATGCGAAGAGACTTCTGGCTACAATCGTTCGGCTTCCCCAGTGAGGCCCAAAATACGATTGAGGGTTTCCCTTTTGATGAGTGCAAGCTGTTCAATGATAAGAGGGATGAATCCCTCCACTTGCTGAAGGACTCCACAGCCACACTATGGTCCATTGATGTATATGTACTCTGGCCCTGAGACACAGACAGCAGAAACAACCCTTCTGCCCACCTCCACACACTACCTGCCCAGTCTACTGTCCGCGCCAACAGGAGCACCAATCACAGAAGCCTTCCTTCCCCACCTCTGCCACAGCCATCTCCTCAACTACTTCCCAGCAGAAGACCGAGCCTCAGTTTGACATGCAGGTTGAGACCCAATGAACCTCCACCAATGCCACCCCTGGAATCCCATATTGTCTTTTGAGTGCTGTCTTGCCCTATTTGCTCACTATTGGGGCGAGATCATTCAGCCCAGAGACTCCATAGCGTTCCTCTCCTTCCTGCTGTATCAAACTCCCTCTTCCCCCCTCTCCCCCCGCACCCATCTCATCAACAGATCCTCCAACAAGATGCAGACACGCTCTACTCTTCAAGGAGGCAATAGAACCTGTCCCACCTCACTACAAGGGCTGAGACTTCTTCTCACCTTACTTCTTCATCCTGAAAAAGTGCAGAGGGCACCACCCCATTCTATATCTTCTGGTACTCAACTTGTTGATCAGACAGTCCAAATTCACATTAGCTTGATTATCCCCCCTCCCTATCCAAGAGAGCCTGGTTTGTGACTCTTGACATAGAAGACGCTTTCTTTCACCTGCACATTGACCCAGCACACTGCAAGTTCCTCTATTTTCAGGTAGGGCACCAGCATTACCAATTTTTGGGTCCTCCCATTTGGTATAACAGTGCCAAGAATGTTCACTGAAGTCTTTGCCATGCTAGCATCCCAGAATCGCCAACTAGCCTACTTAGTAATGCCTTACCTCGATGACTGGCTCCTTGTGTTGCTATTGTGACAGGAAGCAATCTCCACGATCCTCAGTCTTCAGTCTTCTAGCATCTCCAGGTATATGTGTTTAATGAGGAAAAGTTAGTGTTGACACGTACACACCAATACGCTTCATTGGGGTGCAACTCAACTCAAATGTGGAGAGGGCTTTTCTCCTGGCAGACCACTTTGTAGTACTGATAGCTGTCATAGTGGGCATGTCACAGACAGTTCACCATGGTCAGCTTTTGTCTCTCCCTCCTTGGTCACATTGTAGCCTGCACATACATAACACTGCACACGTCTCCATATGCATTGTCTTCAAGCATGGCTCCTCTACATCATGGACCCAACAGAAACCTTATAGAGTCCAGGGTGTCAGTTCCCCAGGCCATGCTGTCTTCCCTCACAGGATGGTCTGATCTCTCCAAGATTATGATCAGCACCCCCTTTACCCCTCTCACACCACAGGCCAGCATTGTGACAGATGCCTCTCTCGCGGGTTGGGGAGCCCACTTAGGCCATCTCACAGCTCGGGATGTGTGGATGCCACAGGAAGCCAGGATGCACATGTGTTCGATCTTCCAGTAAGCGTGCCAAGCCTTCCTCCCGCTCATTCAGTGCCTCCACATTCAACTGTTCTCTGACATCATAGCAGCAGAGGTGTACATCAACAAGCAGGGCAGTCTCCCTCCCTCTGCTCTGAGTTGGTCTGGATTTGGAACTGGTGCGTCAAGAACTATGTGACGCTTCAAGCAGTATACCTACCAGGCATCCAGAATTCACTGGCTGACATGCTCAGCAGGAGTCTACCTCAAGCACAAGTGGGAGCTACACGATGTCATGCTCCTGTACCTCTTTTGTGAAGTGGGGCACCCTCCCTCCCTGATGGGACCTCTTTGCTCCTCATGAGACTCTCAATTGCTCTAAGGGAGGACTCGCAGAGCAATGCTCTCCTCTTCCCCTGGACAGGAAATTTGTGCTACGCTTCCCCCCATTCCCTTCCTGCCAAATCAGTGCATACACCTGTTGTTTTTCTGCCCCAAACCACACTCCTCCCTTACTGACAAGGCCTTGTGCTCCCTTGATGTCCGTTGTGCACTGGCATTCCACAGGACTCGACCCTTTCACACATCACCAAAGCTATTTGTGGCCACAGTTGAAAAGTCCAGTGGTGAAGCCCTCTCGTCCCAATGTATCTCCAAATGGGTCTCTGGGTGCGTCTGCGAATGCTAAAACCAATCCATCATACCTCCATCTGATAGAATCATAGTGCACTCAACGCTAGCCTGTGACGGGTTCAGTTACAGAGACCCCCTTGGGACTGTCACCTGATGTGCTGAAATGACCTCTGAGCCCGTTTTTCCCTGATGGCTTGGGACTCCAAAACCCTGCCTTGTTGAGCCAGACAAAGCTAGTCTGCTGCAACACAGACCCAGGTCTGAACCACACCCCCAAAGCTGCAGTCTTTAACTGAAAACCACTCAGCAGGTTACCTATCTCCAGCACCCAGACGTCCAGTTCTCAGTGGGATCCAAACCCCAAATAAATCCATTATACTCTGTATAAAGCTAATACAGGGTAAACTCATGAATTGTCCGCCCTCTATAACACTGGTAGAGATGCACAGCTGTTTGCTCCCCCAGGTATTAATCACTTACTCTGGGTTTGTTAATAAACAAATGATTTTATGAAGTGTAAGAAGTAGGATTTATGCAGTTTCAAGTAATGCCAGACAGAAAAAAGTCACCAAGCAAAATAAAACAAAACATGCAAGTCTAAGCCTAATACATTTAGAAACAGATAAAATCTCACCCTCAGCGATGTTCCGATAAGCTTCTTTCACAGACTAGATTCCTTCCTAGTCAGTCCCAATCCTTTCCCTTGTTAGGGCTAGTCTACACTGGCAACACTAAAGTGCTGCCATGCTAAAGTGCTCCCAGCGCTATTAAAAAAAAAAAAACAAAAAAACAAACCCACCTCCACAAGAGGCGTAGCTACCAGTGCGGTGCACTGTTTACACTGGCAATTTACAGCGCTGAAACTTGCTGCTCTCAGGGGAATGTGTTTTTTTGTTGCAGCACTGTGAAGTGCCAATATAGACAAGCCCTTAGTTCTAGCTCAGGTGGCAACTAGGGGATTTCTCATGTCTGGCAGCCCCCTTTTATGGCTTTGGCACAAGGCGGGAATCTTTTGTCTCTCTGGGACCCCATCCCTCATTCTAAATGGAAAAGCACCAGGTTTAAGATGGATTCCAGTACCAGGTAACATGGTCACATGTCCTGTGAGACCCCAAGCCTCCATTCTTTCCGGCCTAACTCACATGAACACAGGAAGGCTTACACGTAAACAGTCATTTACAGTCAATTGTCCTGGTTAATTGGAGCCATCAAGATTCTAAACCAGTGGTCCCCAACCTTTCTGTGGGAATAGCATATTGCTATTCTCAAAAGGCTGTGGTGGGCACCGGACACTCCGCCGCCAAAATGCCACCGACGAGTGCGGCTGCCGGAAAACCAGCCGCGGAAATACTGCTGAAAAATGGCAATGCTTCTCAGCGGCATTTCAGTGGCCGGTTCTCCAGCAGCATGTCCTACGGGCACATAAAAACGCCCTGGCGGGCACAATGTTGGGGACCACTGTTCTAAACCACCATTAATGGCCCACACTTTGAATAGTTACAATAGGAGTTCAGAGTAACACTTCATATTTCTAGCTTCAGATACAAGAATGATACATTCATACACATAAGATGAATGCACTCAGTAGATTATAAGCTTTGTAATGATACCTTACAAGAGACCTTTTGCATAAAGCATATTCCAGTTACATCATTTACACTCCTAAGCACATTTCCATAAACCTATGGAGTGCAACGGAGAAGAGCGAGCTGGGGCAGACAGGATTTTTAATGGCACGCTGCGGCCTGCTGAGGTCTTGGCCTGGGTTCGGCAGCGGGCTGAGCGGTGTTGGCGGCTGGGACCCAGCAGGCAGCAGCGTGTCATTAAAAATCAGCTCACTTGTTGTCTTTGGCACGCGTGCCGTAAGTTGCTGACCCCTGCTCTAGCCCCTGCTGTTGATTCCATGTCTCAATTCACTGTCCCACGAATCCATGCTTATGTGGCTCTCATTTAAAAGCTCTTTACCATGACAAATTAGTAGGGGTGAAGAGAATACAGCTTCTCATGAGGCAGTAGTATGAATTCAGTTATCTGCTGGTCTTGCTCTGACTCTCAGCGTGCATTGCTGGAACACACTCCTGGGTCGTCCTTTTTTTTTTTTTTCTTTCTTTCTTTTCCGTTTTGACGGGGAGGGGTGCAGAAACTTTCAAAACTTGGAGCAGAAATTCGCTGTCTGCGCAAAATCTGAGCTTCTACCATTTGGATTTGCCTCCATCTCAGCAATACGTTGTAGAAATGGCGGCGCTTCCTGGGGAGTTCCAGGAAAATGGATTTGGACTTTCCATAATTCTCTTGGTAGTGTAGAATCTATTTCAAAACCACCCACAAATCATTGTTTCAAGGAGCTGAGTTTGCACTTGCAGAATAGTTCCCCGAAGGGCAATGCTATGACAACACTTACCATGGAGCTACATGTGGATGTGTGGTAGAACGACACCTGAAACGCATACCATTGCTACTAGTGCACTTTCTTTAATTGGCAATATTACAGTCTTCTGTTAAAGAGGCAGGTCCTAAGAAATAGATCAGTCTCTACAGGGTCATTTTAGCCATCCCTGAGTTAAAGCAGGACCATTATACATTGCCCAAAGCTTCCTTCAAACTGCTGTAAAATCTTTATTTTGTTTTAAGCTATTAGAGTGCTGTTGCTAGGTTGTTCACCCTTTTCATTGTATATCTGAGATTATTGCTATGTTTTATATACAGTTTGTCAGATTTTAAAAATATTTATTTTTCCGTAGGCTGGTGTTTGGGATGTTGTACCCTGCTTATTATTCTTACAAAGCTGTGAAGACAAAAAATGTGAAGGAATATGTAAGTCCCATTTCTGTTTTGTTTGTCCAATGAAACATAATGCTTCAATTGAAACTTAGCAGAAATAAATTTCACCAAGTTATTCAGTGTAACACATTGGTCACATGAAAGCGTGACACAACTTTAATAGATCTTCATAAATATTAGGTACAAAAATTATGACTATAACATCATTATATATGCTTATGAATGCTTAGCTAATTTAGAAACGAAGTTAAGGTTTCCATATAAGTCACACAGCATAACACACATAATAATGGTATATGAAGAACAACATAAAATATGTTCCAATAATACGTACCATGGTCAAGCTAGGTCCCTGGTTTTGCCAACTTAGTTATATGACTGTATGTTTGAGTAGTCTCATTGACTTTAAGTGTAGTTGTGTGTAAAGTTATTTATGTGCATAAGTGTTTGCAGGATTGGGGACTGACGTTGTAAGATGTTTAGTTTTTGAGTTTCCTGACTAAGGCTATGTCTACACGACTGCAGTAAGTTGATCTAAGTTACAGTACTCCAGCTACATGAATGACGTAGCTGAAGTTGACTTAGCTTAGGTCAACTTACTGTGGTGTCCACACAGCGCTGGGTTGACAGGAGACACTCTTCCGTCAACTCACCTTTCTCTTCTCGTTCGTGGTGAAGTACCGGGGTTGACCAGACAGCGATCTGCGGTCGATTTGGCGGATCTTCACTAGATCCACTAAATCAACCCCTGGTGCATCGATTGTGGGAGTGTTGATCTGGCAGTAGTGTAGATATAGCCTTTGTGATCTTAACTATGCTGCCTTAATGAAACATTAAGTATTGTTAGCATCTAACTTCCTTGGTTTTGTAGGTTGGAGAGGTTGGTGCTACTTAAGTTTTCAAGTAGAACCATGCTTTACCACCTTACTCAACAAATCTTTCCCTTTGGTATAGTCAGTCATGTCATGTCTTCTGACTTCCATGAGGTTTTTATGGCTTTTCTCTAATGTTAGCACTTCTGAAACAAAATAGTCAAGACTGAACAGATTTCTACTCCATTTTATGTCAACATAATTGTTTTTGCTCCACAACTGTCTGTGCTGTGAAAACCTTGTGAAGACCAAGGGGTTGCAAATATCAAAGGCTTTCATTAGCCCCGCAGAAATATTACTATTTGTATTATGCATAAAATATAAGAAGGTCTCCTACCAATAATTTTAGGTGTCCTTAATAGTTAAGAAAACATATATAGTAATGCCAGTTATTAGTTTCTTTAGTCCACATAGTTTTATTTTTCCTGGCCATTAGAAAATGAAGTCTCCCTTTTCCCAAAAGTATAGCTGGGGTTTACAACAAATAATCAATGGTGTCTCTGGCAGTTTCTAGGCCAACTAGCATTTCGAAACCAACACCTTGTGTTCCACCCAGAAACCGGACAGTAGGCAATGCAGATCATAGGTCATGGATTTAACATTACACTGCATTAGTCCAGTCTCAGGGCTTGTCTACGCTACCACGTGAGGTCGATCTAAGATACACAACTTCAGCTACGTGAATAGCGTTGCTGAAGTTGATGTACTCAATCTACCTTCCGCGGTGTCTTCACTGCGGTAAGTCTACAGCTGATGCTCTCCCATTGACTCTGCTTGCACTCGTTCTGGTGGAGTACTGGAGTCGACGGGAGAGCACTCAGCGGTCGATTATCGCAGCTATACTAGACGTGATTGATCGACCTCCGCCGGACGGATCGCTATCCGGCAGGTAGTGTAGACAAGCCCATAGTGACAAAGGCATGAATGACAATAGCAAGGTCTGCATTCAAAGAAATAATTGCATCTTTCTGGTCTTGAATGGACAGAGGGTGTGTGAGGCATTGCAGCTAGCTAATCAAGTAGCATTTGGGAGTCTTAAGATTCCATCACCTATGAACTCAGAAAATGAAAGGTGGAACCACTAGGAATGTAAATAGCGTATAAAACACCTACCCGTGTAACCTATTAAAATTCTGTTGGTTAAACATTTTAACCAGGGAAGTAAAGGTGTGGGAGGTGCTGCAGCACACCCACATTTTACATGGGGCCCTGCTGCCTGCCACCCTGGGTGCGGGGCGACAGCTGAACTGAAACCGATAAGCATTAAGCTTATTGGTTAACAGTTTAAACTTTTACATCCCTAGGAACCATACCAACCAAGGTGCAGATATTCTCTGTCGAGCTATCTCATGCTGGCTCCAGAGCATGACTAGCAACCTCAGGACATTGTTAAGAAGCAGAGCACAAACCCCAAATTGGTTGAGAGTTGTATACTTATATTTCACCAACCAGTTATCAAGACATGAGATGTAATTCTTCCATTCTGCTCAGCGCTGAGAAGGCTGTAGCTGGACTATTGTATCCAGTTCTGGGCACCACACCTGGGGAAAGGAGTGGAACATACTGGAAGAGGTCCAGAAAAGAGCAGTTAAAATGATTAAAGGTCTAGAAAACATGATCCATGATAAAAGATTAAAAACCTTGAGTTTGTTTACTCTGGAGAAGAGAGATTGAGGGGGGATATAAGTCGCCAAGTGTGTGAAAGGTTGTTGTAAAGAAAAGGGTGATAAACTGCTCTTATCCACTGAGGACAGGATGAGAAGTAATGGACTTAAATTGCAGCAGGGGAGATTTAGGAAGCTTTTTCTTAATGCTTAACTTAACTGTAAGGGCAGATAAGCAATGGAACAAATTACCTAGGGAAGTTGTGGGATCTCTGTCATTGGAGGTTTTTTAAGAAGAGATTAGACCAATACCTGTCAGGGATAGTCTAGGTAATACTTAATCCTCCCTCAGTGCAGAGGACCAGCCTAGATGACTTATTGAGGCCCCTTCTAGTTCAAATTTCTATGATTCTATGAAAATAGCCCAACGATGCTTTTTAGTCATGTTTCAGAGTAGAAGTATATATTAAGTGACACCAACTTCAAAACTTAGTTTTTAAAGAATTTTTAATGTTTAAACTAGGGCTGTCGATTAATCACAGGTAACTCACACTATTAACTCCAAAAAATTAATCATGATTAATTGCAGTTTTAATCGCATTGTTAAACAATAGACTACCAATTGAAATTTATTAAATATTTTTGGATGGTTTTTCTACATTTTCAAATATATTGATTTAAATTACAACACAGAATAGAGTTTACAGTGCTCATTTTATATTTTTATTCCAAATATTTGCACTGTTAAAATGATAAAAGAAATTGTTTGAATTCACCTCATACAAGTACTGTAATCTAACCTCTTTATCATGGAAGTGCAATTTACAAATGTAGATTTTGTTTGTTTTATTTCTGAGTGTAGTTATGTAACAAACAATGTAAAACTTTAGAGCGGGGTCGGCAACCTTTCAGAAGTGGTGTGCCGAGTCTTCACTTATTCACTCTAATTTAAGGTTTTGTGTGCCAGTAATACATTTTTACATTTTAGAAGGTCTCATTCTATAAGTCTATAACTAAACTATTGTTGTATGTAAAGTACATACGGTTTTTAAAATGTTTAAGAAGTTTCATTTCTTAATGAAGGGGGAAGGATAGCTCAGTGGTTTGAGCTTTGGCCTGCTAAACTCTGGGTTGTGAGTTCAATCCTTGAGGGGGCCATTTAGGGATCTGGGACAAAAATTGGGGATTGGTCCTGCTTTGAGCAGGGGGTTGGACTAGATGACCTCCTGAGGTCCCTTCTAACCCTGAGAGTCTATGATTTAAAATTAAATTAAAATGCAGAGCCCACCAGATCGGTGGCCAGGACCCGGGCAGTGTGAGTGCTACTGAAAATCAGCTCACGTGCTGCCTTTGGCACGCGTGCCATAGGTTGCCTACCCCTACTTTAGAGCCTAGAAGTCCACTCAATCCTACTTATTCAGCCAATCACTAAGACCAACAAATTTGTTTACATTTATGGAAGATAATGCTGCCCGCTTCTTATTTACATTGTCATCTGAAAGTGAGAACAGGCGTTCACATGGGACTTTTGTAGCTAGTATTGCCAGATATTCTATACATTCGTATCCCCCGTTCGTGCTTCAGCCACCAATCCAGAGGACATGCTTCCATGCTGATGATTCTTGTTTTAAAAAAAAAAAAATGCGTTAATTAAATTTTGACTGAACTCCTTGAGGGAGAATAGTATGTCTCCTGCTCTGTTTCTCCTGCATTCTTCCATGTATTTCGTATTATAGGAGTCTCGGATGATGACCCAGCACATACTCATTTTAAGAACACTTTCACTGCAGATTTGACAAAACACAAAGAAGGTACCAATGTGAGATTTGTAAAGATAGCTACAGCACTCGACCCAAGGTTTAAGAAACTGATGTGCATTTCAAAATCGGAGACGGATGAGGTGTGGAGCATGCTTTCAGAAGTTTTAAAAGAGCAACAGTCTGATGCAGAAACTACAGAACCCGAAGCATTATCTCCTGCAGCCGTAAACAGACTTGTTCAGCCAGTCACTCAGACAGACAAGAAGTAGGACTGAATGGACTTGTAGGTTCTAAAGTTTTACATCATTTTATTTTTGAATGCAGTTATTTTTTGTACATAATCTACATTTGTAAGTTCAACTTTCATGATAGAGGTTGCAATATAGTTCCTGTATGAGGTGAATTTAAAAATACTATTTCTTTTGTTTTTTTACAGCACAAGTATTTATAATAAACACATAGTGAGCACTGTACATTTTGTGTTCTATGTTGTAATTGAAATCAATATATTTTAAAATGTAGAAAACATCTGAAAATATTAAATAATAAAATACCATTTCTTTAAACAGTGGTGATTAATTGCGATTACTTTTTTTAATTGCTTGACAGCCCTAATTTAAACCTGATCTTGTTTTTCCTGGCCAGTTTTTGTGGCTTGAAAACCACATTTCCCTCTTTAAGCTTTTTCCCATTGCTGATGTGTGACTCTCCAAATACGTGACATTGACTACCCAGGGGAAACAGTGAAGCTGACTAGACAAAAGTAATATCCTAATTTTGAAGTTGTGGTAATCTTG